ATGGCACTCATCTTTATTTGAGGTAGCGTCAAGCTTTGAAGCTCAAGTTTACAGTAAATGGACTAGAATAATCCTATGGAGAGGAATGATGCGTAGAAAAGTTGCAAAAATATTAGGAACTTCTGGATATAAAACTTGCAGCTAATATAAGGAGACGAATGCCTAAGACAAATCGTCCAGACTTAATTGTATTGCTTTCTTAATGCTTGAAGATATTATGAAGCCATCATTTGCCACTATTAAAAAGAAATTGGCAGCATTTAAGAAGTTCCTCAAATGCATGTATAGAATATACATTCATTATCTTAATAAACATTTGAGCCGAAAGAAAAGTCCAACACTTGAAACGTTAAAATGAATAGGATTCTTCACGTTCAGAATTTACAAAATACCAAAAAATAAAATAAAATAAAATAAAAATAATAATAATTTTGTTTATCCTATTGCATTAATCGTACCAAACATATAACGTACGAGCATCCAAATCACGACCTATCTAATGAAAAATGGTTAGATGCTCAGTATCTACTTCTAAACCTCATTATATTAGTTATATGATATTCTGTTTTCCATCAAATTAATATAGTTGACAACATAAAAGAATTCCAGGGATGATGTTAAATTGTAGGGTTTAATTGGATTTGATGTCACAAAAGTGTATTTAATTCTAAATTCGCATGAATTTGTTAGTCAGCCAAGAGCTATTAACACGTAGTTTAATGTCCTCCCCAAATTCTTTTAAAAAAATTGCAATGACATGGGAACCTGGCTTTTTATTTTTATTTTTTTTAATTTAGTTTATTTCTTATCCCAAAATCCTATTTTTCTTTCTTAATCGCAATTCATCTTAACCCCAAATAGGATTTTTTTATTTTCTATTTAAATATGTTATATATAATGTCATTTTTTACCCTTCCTTCATTTTGTTCTTATGTTATATATTATGATATGGATAAAGGAACGTTTGAATTTCATAGCCCTTGATTTTTGCATATTTACTATAAGTGAAACTAAAAAACATTTTTTTTTCTTTTGTAGTAGAAACATTATATTTCTTTTTATATTATTATTTTTTCAAAGAAATGTAACTATTCTAGTTTTTTTTTTCTACAATACTTGCAATAAAATAAAATATTCAATATTTTCTCTCATACAATATTTTATAAAAATGGCATAGATCCATGAGACTAGAGAATAAAAATGAACAATAACCATCATAAAAATTTGAATTGAGCATTAAACTCGAAAGTGTTGAAATTCAAAGGTTAAATGTTCAGATACATTAATGTCTAAAATCTATTTAAAAATAAAACATTAAGGATGCATTTGATTGTAAGCATGAAATTTGTACGGGAAGAAAATAAATTCTAGGCAATTCAATTGTCTAGAACTTATTTGTATGAAAATTATTAATTAAATGTATTTGATTGATTTAATTTTCACACTAGAAAATAATATACTTATTCATTTTTATTAGTGGGTAAATGAGAAAGAGTGGATAGATGAGAAAAAGAAAGAAGACTGAATTCTCTGGAAAATAAAATCATATTTCCTCTATAGAAAATATCTTCCTTGATTTTGAGAAAAATATGGTCATGTGATCAAAAGAAGGAAAATGTTTTTCATAAAAAAAAATAATATCAATCAAACAGTACAAAAGTAAAAATATGAGTGGAAAAATACATTTTTCACGAGAAACATTGACAATCAAATGCATCCTAAGGGACCCTTTGATTTGTATTTCAATTTTGAGTTTTGAGTTCATTTTCTATTTTCTATTTTGAGGTTCTATTTTAAGATTTCCAAAAAGATTTTTAGTTTGTTATTTTCAAAAGTTGTTTCTCAAAATAGAAAACTAAAAATACGTTTGGTTTAAAATTTTGAAGAATTATTTTATTACATTTTATTCCATTAAATTTGATTATTCAGTAAAAAAAAAAGAACAATTCTATATTAATATATTATCAAGTATCATATACATTTTAAAGTTAGTGAATTTTATAATATTTTTTTCTCATTAACAATTTAACAAATAATAAATTGATTTCAAAATATAGAAGATGAAAATAAAAACTAATGGGTGGACTTATATTTTTGTCCGTATTCATTTAAAAGTTTTATGTATATAATCATTAAGAGTTGGAACTATTTTTATTTTTCATTTTTTATAAATTTTCTTTTTCTAGAAGTTTTTCTTATCTTTATTTTTTCATAATTCTAATTAAAATTTTTTAGAATTTTAGAATTTATTTTTTTTCAAATTTTTTATTTTTTTAAAGAATTTATCAATTTATTTTTTGAACTAATTTTTTAATTTTAATTTTCTATAATTCTTAAAATTTTATTTGTTAGAATTTTATATTTTTTATATTTTTATTTTTAAGATTTTATTTAAACTCTTGTTTTCCATGTTTTAAGTATTTTCAGAATTTTTACTGAAAACACTCAAAATGTCAAAAATGAGTTTTGAGTTTTATAATATAAATTTATCATTTTCTCTGAAAATGTATTTTCAGAAATAATAGACAATATCGTTCCAATATTTTACAAAATTGAAAACTGAAAATGGCTTGATAATAGCAAAACAAACACACTCTAAGGTTCCATAGTTCAAGGATAACAACATAATATCATATATGTTTCAAGACTCAATCAATCATAATTTTCTTTTTTTTTCTTTTTTTTTTTTTTGGTTACCTTCTTATAAGGAGGCAATAAAAAATAAATAAATAAATAAATAAAAGAAAGATATAAATCGTGGCTGGTTCAAGTGGTTCACCATTGAACTAGTTAGTTGATTGAGTACTTCATATGGACGAAAAATGTTAGTCCCATCGTGGAATTGTGGTACCCTATCTTGACACTTAATTTTTATTCGTATGTGTTTAAATATAAATCATTTATAAAAATAAAATAAATAAATAAAAGGGAAGATAAACGATAATTATCCACGCCCAGCCTCCCAAAAATCTCAGATAGGAAGAGGAGGGACGGGGGATCGGAAGGGCCCACTTGCTCTGTTCTGTTACCATCCTTAATTTTTAGACATGGTTTTCATATACATGGATATAACGTGATCAATTTTCGTTATAATTCTCTCTCTCTCTCTCTCTCTCTCTCTCTCTCTCTCTCTCTCTCTAATTGGTTAATCATGATAACACAAGTGAATATTTATTTGTTTTGTTGTAGTCCAATTTCTTACCGTTAATACTGAGCTGTTTGTGGATGTCGAAATAATCTTGTTACCAAACATGTCCAAAGGATTTAGCAAAATGAATTATGAAATTGACAGTTATGACCACCTTAAATCTCTCCTCCACCTTTTCTACTTCCTTATCAAACAGGAAGCTCATTAAATTATGGGGAATTTACACAAATGTCACTAAATATGAAAATGCACAAAAAATTTTGTTTTGCACAATTTTTTTGCAAAAATGTCACTTTTTCTCCACAAAATGTCCATATTACCCTTTGACACCTTTTTAGGAGCAATAAATGCTTGATTTGAATGCTATTAATGGTGTGATGTGATCATTTATTTATCTTTATTGTTAATATTGAAGAAATGAATATTATATTGTATAATATGAATTTTTGATTAAAAAAATGGGTGGAATGTGTATAAAGAGCACACACAAGTAGGAGTTGAAATAACTTCTTCTTCTTCATCATCCCCCTTTCATTATCAACAAGGCATGAAGGAAAGCTATTGATCAATTTTAAAGGTGAGGTAGTAGAAAAGAAATTTTTGCATGCCATACTTGAGTACTTTAAATATTCAATAAAACATGGTCAGAATTAATTGTCCATATTTCATCTCTTATTCATTGATTTTTTATTCTTGGTATATTTTAGAAAGGGAAGAAATACTAATATTCTCAACAAAATGTGAATCATTTCATATGTAATTTTATATTTAATGAAGCATCGAGTTATACTTTCTTTGTGTGTAGGGAGATCAGTTGAAGTTGTAGTTGAGAATTGATTATGACCATTAATGTGTTGCAATAAATTCCTGAAACAGTAAAACACATTTTTTTGTAGGTTCCCCGAAACTTATGCCGTTCAAGTGTTGAGCAGTTTCGTAAAAACTGTCGGCTTAGACATTTGAACTGTCGAAATCGACATTTAGTAACTGTCAGGATGGGCAGAGAATTTAATCGTCGATTTTGACACCTGAAAAGCTTTCTCTTTTTGGTACTACATGGATCAAAGTATTGTAATGAGCCAATTTGACCGTATTAAATCTTTCGACATAAATGTGCAGAATTATGACTTTTGTACTCCCAACATTTTAGGTATGGCTCAGGATCTGAGATTCATCGTGTCGCATAGGGGGAACTTTGTTCACGTGGATGACGAATGGAAGTGGAGAGGGGACAAAACGACTTCCATTTTAGCGCCGAGAAACATTACCGTAACAGAACTTGTATTAAGATTGAAGGAGAAACTTGGTATTGTTGAATCCCGCAATGAAATTGAGTTGAAGTTCAAAGTCCCGAATTTGAATATACCTTCGGCAGAGATACACGACGATGAGGACCTAAATTGGCACATATCTATTTATAAGGAGACTGCACTCTGCGTCACTATTATGGAAACTGAGGTCCCCAGTGTTGACATGGCGAGGGAAGCAAACTGTGTAGAGAACCGGTTCAGCCTAACGGAATGTCCCCAGACTTTAAGACATGGTGAGGTCAATCATGAGCATAGTGGGTCGAACAACGAAGCACCCGCACCTTCAATTGACCATATCGAGGCTGCAGCATCCGTTGAGCACTTAGAGAACCTGTTACATGGTACGAATGATGCTATTATTGCTGAAATTGACCAGCCAGTGTCATCACATTCCATGAGTTTAGGCACAGATGAGTGGATGACAGCCGTCGTTCTCGCCGAAAAGCAAATATTCTTTAGCCAAGAAACAATTGTACTCAAAGATTCGTGTGCTTGCTTTGCAAGAGAAGTTTCGATTTCGGGTGAGTAGGTCAAGCATGAAAATGTTAACCGTTGTATGTGTGGATGATAATTGCAAGTGGATGCTACGTGCTTCTACTGTCAAGCAATCTGCATTCTTCATGATCCGTAAATTCATCAACGTGTACACATGTTCCCTTGATTTTCGTCGTAACGCACATCGACATGCCACTAGTTCTGTAATTGCCGAGCACATTTTAGGCAAACTAGATACTCCAGGTCGATCGTATGACCCTATTGCTATTGCACATGATATGGAACGTGAGTTTGGTGTGAAAATCAGTTACAACAAAGCTCGTAGGGGAAAGCTTCATGCCTTAACTATGCTACACGGTACACCGGAAGCCAGTTTTCAGAAATTATCTTCATACTGCCACGTCGTAGGAGAGAGTAACCCGGGGACAGTAACCCACATAGAACTCAATTCTCAAAATAAATTTCATTACTTCTTCCTAGCTTTCGGTACAAGCATTCGTGGTTACATGCAGTACTTGAGACCCGTTATTTGTGTGTTGATGGCAGTCATCTGAAGGGTCCATACAAAGGGACACTTCGACTGGCAACTACCGAGATGGTAACAAACAGATATATCCATTAGCATGGGGGATCGTGGATGCTGAAACCAATAAATCCTGGAAGTGGTTTATGTCCAATTTGAAAGAGCTTATAGGGGACTCTGAAGACCTCGTATTTGTTTCAGACAGAAAAAAGAGCATTGACAAAGCTATTACTCAGTTGTTTCCGTTGTCTCACCATGGTTGTCGTATCTCGCATCTCAAAAAGAACCTGATACAGCGGTACAGCAACGCAAGTGCAATACTTCTATTCAAACGAGCTGCTACGACATATCGGGTTGAGGACTTTGAAAGACTCATGGGATAGATCCACAGGGTGAGCACAAGAGCGCACGGGTACTTAGAGTGTGCGGGTTATTCATTTTAGTCCTGAGCACTATTTATTGGCCACCGTTACAACATCATGACGAACAACAATGCTGAGTCTCTAAACTCCATGTTGAGAGAAGCCCGTTCTTTACCGATAACCTGCTTGGTCGAACACATTCAGAGTACTTTGCAGAAGTGGTTTTATGAACGTCAGAAAAATGCGACCGAATGCAGTACAGTATTGACGACGAGGATGGAAAACGAGTTACGGATGACATTTGAAACTGGAACGAGGCTTCGAGCCCAGTTGTTGACAAACAACTTAACTTAGGTTGGAATATCCAACGACGTGGACATAGTTGACTTTTCCGAAGACACCTGCACGTGTCGTGAGTTGCAACTAAACCGTATGTCATGTGCTCATGCAACTCGTGCTGCTTGCTTCAAAGGGAAGTCATTGTATGACCTTTGCTTCCCTTATTACACATCTGAATACTGGAAGGGTGCCTATAGAGAAGCTATATATCCTGTTGGACGTGAAGCGGACTGGGTTGTTCCCAGTTTAATTACATTTACTCCTATTTTGCCACCACTCGTACGTCGCCCTCCAGGTAGACCACCGACCCGACGTAAGCGTTCAAGACACGAGTCTGCATGGTCGAGCAGGAAATGCACTCGTTGTGGTCGTCTTGGTCATAATTGGAGCACATGTTCTAACCCCAATGTATCACAAGTTCCTTAAACGTTGTTAGTGTAATCGACATTGTATGTTCAATGTTCCGTAGTGCCCTGCACCTTATGAAGTTATGTTATAAATAGTGTGATAATTACCATTTCTGGATGTTCGGCATCCTTCTGTGCACATACGAATTTGTTTCCCGACTATCCTGTTCATCGTTTACACACATCCTGACAGATGTGTTCTGGATTTTCGACAATTGACGAATGTGTGCACAACACTCAAGATCAGTTTCACGTACATGGAAAACTGTAGATTCTATGAAAGGGAAACAATGTAACTGTAACATGCTTGAAACAAAGTCTTTAAACACGTACAACTAACCCTCCAAGTGCACGGTCAATCAAAATACTTGAAGATAGTAGGCAAATGGAATTGTAAATTGGGACGCTGTCCTTCTCTTGTTGGACTGCGCACATCATGAACCCCATTTAAAATATTTAAGTTCAATATCCATGAAATATATTATAATTTGTAACATCATCCACCACGGAGAGAAATCAGCTCTAAATAAATATCATTTCATAACATCCACCAAACGTGGTGCAAAATATAGATGTAGGTTAATTTGTCAATCCCGACAGATAGAAATCTGTAATTCTCGACAGTTCGATTGGACTGGACTATACACAAAATACACTACCCGGATTATGGCGAAGGGACATGTTCATGCAGACATTTTGGTTCTGTGTTAACCAACTGCATCCCTACAAAAGAGTGGATTGTACACTACTTATTCACTACACTCCACGGCCTGCATTTCACTCGTCGTCGACAACCGAACTTGCTCCCCCACTGTCTTCACCTGACTCGTCAGACGAGATGATAATGACCTCGTTCTCTGGGACGTACGCCAACCCATCGTCTTCCTCGGAATCCCCTTCGTAGGCAGCGTCGATCGAGAGCACAGCATCAAGCACATCGTTCTGTGACAAACCATCGTCACTCCCAACATCTTCCAAGTTCGGGAAGGGAACAGGGAAAATGGCTCTCCTACCCGTACGAAGCTCAATTTCGTCATCGTCTGACGAAATGTAGATTGAAAATAACGGAGAGGATCCGGGAACCGGCATCGACTCATCCATGTTGAACGGTTCGGTGCTTCCTGTGGACGAACTCATTATGCTTATGTAGTAAAGTATTGCTGAAACGAAATCTGTCTTTGAGAGTCACAAATTCTCACAATGCTATTCCACTAAGCTGTCTAGGAGTGAGAACAATGTGACACTGTATTTATAAGCAACTTGAAGAGGAAATGCAATTATGGTCATCATCTACCCAACCACCAAGTCCAATCTTCTTGTTAATTTGAAAAGCAATTGGTATGATAGTTCAATAATTTTATAGTACAGTTATCCCCCATTTCCCCATAATTAGTAGGACATTTAACACTCTTCATTATCTTTGTATAATTCAGTACATATACATTCCTGCACCTGAAATGCCTTCGTGCAAAATATTCCCAGCAATTGTGGCATCGTTGTAATTGTAGTGCTTCAAAAAAATGGGATTACATTATATTCACGCACATGGTATATCGAGTACAGTTCTTATGAAATATTTTGAAAAGTAGTTGGAAGTTCCTATAGATGCTTGAGAACAATGCCAATTTAACAACGATGACAACATTGAGCATACAAGAGAAGAAATACTGCAGTTATTATCAAAATAAAAATTTTAATCACTATAATGTCCATCTTCTTCTACAGCAAAGTGCAGTTTAGTTGCCCTTTTACATGGGTGGACTTTCTTGGTGCCATCTAATTGATTTTCTTACCTGAAAACAAGGCGTACTTTAACGAGAATGCAAATATCATTTTCTAAAGTGAACTTCAACGAGAACATAGAATTAAAAATATTTCGAGAACGTATCTCAAAAGTGAATAAACACATAAGCCAAAGTACCAGACATGCGAGTAGACGAGAACGAACATTGCAAGACGAAAATAATCAAGCAGGTTAATATATGAGTGTCAGAAAAATGCTTATCATGTCAATTTAGGTTCCGACTGTTCACGTAATATAAGACAGGAACAATGTTAGAATAAACGTAAAAGCAAGTGATTAATTGTTCCCGTCTACTATGTTCACCATCTGCATGCCTCGACAGGTAAGTGAAAATAAAAAACAACCCCATCGTCCTGGCATCCTGCCACTTCATTCACAATTACTTCTTCAATGTCTTTCGCCTCTCCCTCGTGTACGGAGTCCTCGTTTTAGGAGCGGGACGTCGTAGCCGGGCGGAGCGCCGTCTCGTCGTAGAAACTCTACCTCCTCCTTCTGGTACAGGCGCGGGAACAGGTACGTCATCGGCGGGAACAGATACAGTAGCGACAATACCTACATAACAATGGAAGGGGCCCAGTGAGTTACCGTCAATGACATTCACTAACCATACGTATTATACGCAGTAGTAACGCATGCAATGAACTTACCTTCGCCATCTGCGACGTTGCAACTGTTAATCTCTGCATCGGTGACCGCGGCCGCATCTGAGGGCTCTGTGGCAGCTCCGTCTTATTAACAAAACATACGTAAATGCATAGCATTCGACGAAACATTAGGAAGCAAATTCCATGACATGAAATTGCGAAAAGTGCTTATAATTGACGCAATACCTTCCTGATCGTCAATTGGAGAGGGCAACGGCTCGTGCTCGACGTCCGGGCATGGTGCAATGTCAGCTCCCTCTATTGACAACAACAGTAAAATAATGTGAGCACATTTGTTATGTCATGTTTCGCAACATACGTACTCGATGAAATAATATGTTTCGAATTGTGCATGAAATACCCACATACCTGGCAAGTCTTCAGTTCTGACAAGCAGCTCCCCCTTGTCCGTGCATGGAGGACTGTATGCTCCGACTGTGGAAAGCAACAGTGACGTCATGAGAGCGCATTACATCTCCCAACTCAAGCATCGTACAACGTCCAGGCAGTAACATGTTTAGAATCGGTCGTTAATAATGCACGTACCTGGAGGTTGTGAACGTCCTGTGTCAACTCCCATTTCAATTGGAGTGGGCAATGGGTCTGTGCCTCGTCCATGTATGTCTATATCCCAATTGTAACAAGAAAAAACCGAATAACCTTGTGGTCAATTTCAAAAAATATAACCGAATAGCACATGTTTGATTCATACCTTGTGGGGAACAACTTGAAGGACCGGGCTCGAAAATGGCGCCCATTGAGCGCGGAACGGTGGTAGGGGGATGTGGGGCCACCTGGGCAGCAATGAACTCACGGAGTCTTGTACATTCAAATGTCACGTGCTATTCAATTTCAAGCTTCACAGTCCGGAGTGGCATCTCGAAGAGGATTCTTTGGTCGAGTAGCAGCTCCTCAACTTCCCCTTTTGTCAAGCTGGAAGCAGATGTTCAAACTAGCAGTGAGTTTGTCGTACGCCCTCGCACTGGTGAACGAATCGGTGTCCCTGGAGGGGTGGAAGAGTCACCGGTATCCTCACTGTCGTCGCCTTCGCGATCACTTCCCAACTCCCCATCGCTCTCATCATCTCCAGATGTCTCCCCGTCACCACTTCGTCCACTACGGACTCTGTCCTCCAAATCTTGACCTCCCGACTGTCCACCAACTCCACTTTTGGCGTGTAACGAATAAATCTGCGGTACAACCACAGTCCTCACAATGCATCAAGCACGGGCACCGGAGGATCGTCGTACGGCACGAGAGAGGACAGATATGGCTGCTCAGCCTCTGCATCGATGGGTCGGAGAGTTGCGTACACATGCAGCTGCGAAATGAGGTTTAGATAATCACATGAGAACGTGCCAGATAGTAACAAGATGGTAAAGGGGAAACAAAGACATGTCGAAATTGTACCTGTACATTCTTGAAAAATGCATCGTATCTACGATGTTGTGGCTGCTTTCGAGCGGACCAGCGAAGAATTCGTGGTAGTCGTTCACCGACTCGCTGACCAAAGCGTTTCCCAATCTCCGGAATCGCCTCGAACGCCCAACCTGTTACAGCAACAGAAACACATTAAAATTACAGAGATTATATGTGCAATGCTACCGGAGGGGTAAATCATGCATGCTATGCTAATGTTAGGAAGTGTGCATACTTGCATGGCGATGGGGAAGCCGTGAACCGTGCATGTAATCTCTTTCTCCTTCCTCCTCTTGGCCTTTTGGAATTTTCTTGCAAAGCTACCTCGAAACCCGTGCAACAATCGCTTATATCCAACTCTATCCCAAGGGTAGGAAAAAAAGAAGTCCAGGTCGTCCACCATTGATA